ATGTTTTAGTCATAGGTAAGTGGAAGTATCATACATTTGCAGTCAACTAATCAGAAAAAGTTTTGGTTTGGAGGGACTTTTGAAGAGCTTTATTCTGACTTCTGCTAAAAGCACGGCTGCCTTCAGAGCAAGATTTCTTTGCTTCAGGCCTTCAGTTAACTTTTGAAAATATCCAAAATATCCCACAGCTTCTCTATGCAACATTTCCAGCGGTTGATCCCCTCACTTTGAACTTTCTTCATCGTACCATATGATCCCCAATTGCAACTTCTGATCTTTGTGCTCCTCTGAAAATAATTTTAATCCACCTTCACTATAGTTTCTCTCAATTTTGCTGCCAAATAGTGCAGAAAGATTCACCTCAGACCACTTTCCTCCATGCTAAACAAGACCGAGTCCTTTTGCTTCTTATATGCTGTGTATTCCATTCCTCTTGTCACATTCCTGGTCCTCTACTAAATTTGCCTGAATTTTTAAATTTCTCTTCTCAGGTGGTTCCATAACAGTACAGAGAATCCAACATGTGAGCTCACTGTGTTGAGAATATAAAATAATCACTCCTCTCTGCTTACTGGTCACTTTTGCCAATGCAGTTGCAAGGCACTGCTGTCCTAGGTCATCTTGCTTCCTACTGAAAACCACAGATCCTTCTGCAGAGCCATTTGCCATCCAGCATTTTAGTGATAATTCTCTACCAGTGACTTGGGTTACTCTGTCCCATAGAAGGACCTGTATTCATCACTGGTAAGTTTCAAGGAAGGTATTTGTTGAATATAAAGTGTTGAAAATGATCATTGCAAAACCAGAATCAAATTAAATAGCAAGGATCTGGCAAGTCAGTCCTTCTTTAAACTAAGAAGTGGAAAAATTCAGAGATCATTTTGTATTCTTTGCAGAGTTTATAAGCACATTGCATCAGCTACCAAATCTCTGGAGAGAACTTCTTCTAATGCAAAGAGAAAGGACTGTGTAGATTAGAATTATGCATGTTATGTTTGGTAGGTTTTAAGACAGAGTAGGCACGGGAAACACTGTTATTAAAGCAGCCAATGTGCAAATTAGTAACCAATGCAGAATTGGTAGGCTGTTGTCCCAGGCTGAGAACTACTTCTGCCCAAAAGACCTAGTTATGTCAATTATATTCTTCTTTCTACAAATGCTACACAAAATTTGATTATTAAATTCAGAAAATAACAGAAAAAAACCCTTAGATCAAGGCATTATTTGACACTAAATATGGGATTTCAGAGAATAATTTTATTTCCAAGATAAGCTGTTTGTTGCTATTCATATTCACAGTACCTGCATTATGAGTCCAGTGATTTACCACAATACTTGTGTTTTTTAGATGGAAGAAAATGTTTGTAGGCTGACTCACCAGCAAATAACGATAAAAATTATTTCTAGGTTTGTTACTGTACTGCCTGTTAACTTGTATCAAAGTCTTGACTGACACATAGGTTAACACAATGGTAAGACAAAACAGAGAAGACTATTCATCCTCAAGAGATCATTCCATCTAAACTTCATACAGAGGATCATAGAGGAATTCAAAACAAACCAGGGAGACTTAGTAATCATTGAGGAGAAATTGGCCTCTGTAAAGGATATAAATCAGTAAATAAGAGAGCCTAATGTACACATGCAAAAAACGAAAATAAAAGATTTTGAAATAATCACTAAACCCTGAGATGTTCAGATTTTTTCTACTACTGATGTGGGTAGGTCACTGAGCAACCTTATTTAGTTAAAGCTGTCCCTGCATATATCAGGGATTTGGATTGTATGTCCTCTTAAAGGTCCCTTCCAAACTCAAAGTATTCTATGATTCCATGATAAAGTACTCATATGTGACTTTATAGGCTCTGAGACGTTGCTGGTGATCAATAAACAGTGATCTCAAGCTCATGCAAGGGTCAGTATGGAAGGATTTTGGGAAATTGTCCTTGTGAAAGTGAATTTTTAAAAAGTAAAAAATGCAACAGGAAGGATCAATAAATATTGTCACATGTTTTTAATTAGCTACCATTCCCTAGGAAACCGTCATGGCATGATATATGAGAAATCAGTTTTTACAACTAAATCAATGAATGCTTTTTCAAAAACAAATTAAGATGTTCTTAGTGTGTATCTTGATAGTCTAGAAAATTGCCAGAAAAATAAATATTATGTATGGATACTGATTTTACCTTATAGCTCTTAGCATTAGTCCTGTGATTTTAATACTCTAACAACATTAGAATACTCTGGATTATGGAATTCTAATCATGAAAAAAAGATTTATGCCTGTCTGGAAGACCCCAGTTAGGATGTAATTATAAGGTGAAATCACAAGTGCAATTAATTGAAATGCATGGCCATGAGGGCCCAGTTATGACAACATAAAAAAGCTTTCACTAAGCACTCACTGCTAAATGAATATTTTGTATCAGTGGAATTAAGGTTATGCTGTCTGCAAGCAGTGTATCTACTCTGTTTATAAGCCATAGATAACATTGGTGCACTGATGACTTGCAGCTTATGATATATTTCTAGTAACAATGGGGAAGAAATATATTTTTTTGGTGAAATTATTGCTAAAAGATTCACGTGTACCAATGCCTTCAATACATACTGGGAAAGAAATTGCTTATCTCCATTCTGTCCTGCTTTTTTGTACGTTAATCTTTTAGAACATAATTATTTGTTTGTTAATACCACAATAGAGAGGCTAGTTTCATATTATTGCAAAAGGAAGATACATTACAATTTCTGTACTTTGGGCATGAGAATACATTTCTTGCAGAGCTGAGTTTTCCAGGGCTGTTACCTCGATTTTGTCAACAAGCATCGTTTATACACACACACACACACACACACACACACACACACACACACACACTTGTAACTATGAGATATTTAACAGCTTCTGTACTGAATTTGGTTAAACGTCTACAGAGTTATTCCAGTACATGTCAGGACAGCATTATAGGAACTCTAGTTCTTGACCTGGGTCAGACCCCAACAGGTGGATGTGAATACTCATGACCCCTACTACTGTGGGAGCAATACTCCCCACTCCCAATTACAAATGCCTCCACAATGTTTAATGCAGTTGTTTAAAAAGAACACTATTTGTAGAAAATACAATGCAATATGAATTAATGCAAATATGAATTAATTGGAGATTTGGGGGTTAGCCTTATATTTTGTTGCCCCGGAGAACAAAGACAACTTTGACTGTTTCATTTTTTGAGAAGGGTATGTGTGGTAAAACAAAAGGATTTATCAGTAATTTAAAAATAGGGGTGAGATAAATTTTTAAAAATATAGAAAAATTTTAATAACATAAATTTAATTGCAATATAAAAATTATAAGAATTAAAAAAAAATTAAAATTACAAAAATTATAAAAATTGAGATGTAGGTTTTAAAGATATTGTCAACTGCCCAGGACTAGATGCAAAAAATCATGCTAAAAAAGCAAGTTGGGCATTCATTACTTTTCTAAGATGCATTGTGTATTATTATCTGCACTGACTCATTGACAATTATCTAGTGATACAGGTTTGCATTGGTTTTGCTTCTCATCTCTCTTTAAGAAGCAGACCTGAAAGCTCACAGGTACAAGCATGACACATACAATGTTGGCATTTCATGTAAACAACCAGTACAAAACAGATTATGCATTCAGCCTCTTTAACCGTTAAAACTTATTAAAAATAATTTTTCCCTCCATTTTAAGTGTAATCACTGCATTATATATATCTAGGCAAAGGAGTTCTAATAACAAATGATCAAATGGCAAAGAATAAGGCAAAGGATACAGCCATCTGAGAGCTCCTCACCTGTTTCCACTTATGCTTCTGTCACCTGCAGAGAGGCTTAAAGATATAACTGGAGGAGACTGCAGCCCACAGTACTGAAACCCACAGAACCAAACTGCTGGTATCAATATGTCAGGAAACTAAGCAAAACTAAAATGAGATCTGTTGCTACATAACCATGTGCTGCAAAGATGGAGGGTACAAGCAGAACATCCGCTAGAAAACAAAGGCTTCTAAACATTTTACAAGAAGACTTCCTTTTCTGTAATAGTCTCCAGGCCCAAGTCACTTATCTACAAATATACATTCCAATTCCTGCTCTGTCCCAATTGTCCAGGCTCCTATCTGCCCTCTTCCTTGGGGAACCATTTCTAAAACTTTTCTCCACAGGCCTGCCACACGAGAGCCTTGTTTTACCTGATGTGCCCAGGCATGTCCAGGGAAGACAGCATGGACCTGATGGCAGCCCTGTTGCTCTCACCAAACCACACAAGGCTGGCTCAGATTGCCTGTTTCCCACACCACAGGAGGGAATGGGCAAGGGGATGAGACATGGCTCATCCCATCAACAGAATGGACACAAAAAGTACACCTCAGTCCCCTGTTCATTCTTCTGTCACCCTGATCCTAAGTAAACACTATTCTCTTTGGATGGCTTGAGAACAGTCACTGGTATAAAAGGACTAAAGAGAGGGAAAGGTTATAATAAGTACCGTTTTCACTGGAATTTTTTTAATTTTACAGATCGAATTTCACCTCAACATTGCAAAGGTTTATATGTGAAAATGTTGCCATACAGTTGTATCATCTGCTCTTTATTACATCTATATCATTTCAACAGGACTCCAATTCTCCATCTATGGGCTGGTCTTCCTATTTTTTTAGATTAGTTCATTTGGACATCAACTCTTGTATATGACAACAAAATTTGTCCCTCTCCTTATTAAGTTTTACAGTGCGGTCTTTCTCTTTGGTGATTCATCTACTGACGGAATAAGAAAACAAGCATCTAAAAATAAAATTACAATATTAATTGCATTCTTAATTAATATAATTAATTTTAATTTAAATAATTGTATTTATATTCAAGACAAACCTATTTTTATATAAGCTTCTGTGTTGACAAATACATATTTAGTCTTACTGTAAACAAATCTTTTAATAACAAAAAGACAGAATGAAGACTTTACTTACCAAGCCATCCTGATCCAGAATTGGGTATACACATATCTGTTTCAGCACTGGGTAACACAAATCCAACCACAAACACTTCAACCCCATCTGCCATTAGGGCCATTCCTAACACAAAGAAGAGGGCCCACTGGAAACGACCATGGCCACATTCTTGTATTATCAATTCATATTGTTGTGCTAGCTCTTCTTCATCAGCTTTCCTCTCCGTTTCCAGTTCACGACGATCCTTGTATTCATCACGCATAGACTGACCTAAGGCTGCCATGTTATCCTTACCCTGCCCCATGTTGGGGATTCCCTGATACTCCCCTTCGTAAATTTCATCATCTTCATCATGTCCTTCAGTTGCTTCACTAGATCCTTCATCATCATTAGCTTCTACACCACGGCCATAGTAATCATCGTCATCTTCCTCATCCTGGAATCGACTGTAGGACCTCTGTGTGTAGCCATCCTGGGCTTTGTCAACTGCTTTATTCACTTTTTTCACTGCTTGCCTCTTCACCTCTTTAGCAATATCTTTGGCCCCTTTCACTAGTGAAGTCCTGTCTTTGTATGTGTCCTCCATCCTGTATCAAAGAAGGACTACTTTGCAAAGGCACCTGCTAAATATTGTTTGGAATGTCTATTGCGAGTTGGACATCAGTGGAAAAAGGCCAGGTACAAATGAAGCTGTAATATTCAACCTGTAAAATAAAAAATAAAAAAAGCTTATACTTCACTATTTTTAAATGCTTCTTCACACTGATACAGAATCATCCCAATCTTCATTTAAGCACTGGACATCAGAATACAAAGGGTTTCAAATATAAAACCCAGTATTTTCTTCAGAGATACAAATACCAGAGGTAACAAGGAAAATATGCTGAAGATAAATTTAATATCTCTATCAGTCTTCAGAATTCAATTTTTTATTCTCTAATCTCAGATGCCAGGTTTTATTCTGAAAGAAACCAAGCAATTCCATGCATCATGCATCATATTGACTCTGTCTGAAGTATCCTTTCCCATTTGAACACCCTGTTTTGTAAGAAAGAGCTACAAATACTAACCTTTCTCTCAGTGAGTACCATGAAATATCTCTCTAGCCTTCTATTTAACACAAATCCTCTAGGAAGTTAGCATTCCTCCAATCTATACCAGTGTCTCAAAGCTGACTGAATTTGGCCAATGCATTCACAGTGCATTCGCACTGAGACGTAGCAAAACAAAATTCCACCCTAAAAAATTCAGTGCGTGGAGCTATGCGGGCAGAAGTGGTGGCACTTTCACACTTTGGAGATTCCCAATACGTAAGTCACGGACAGAGACATTCCTTTCTTCCCTTTCTATACTCACAGCAGGGGCAGAGTGGAGCAACTTTGTACTAGCAGCTAGTGGATCTCCGAGTGTGTTAGTCCAGCACGGCTTCCCACTAACCAAGCTACATGAAAGCACCAAGACATTTTGCCCCAGTTCTCCTCCTGCTCCTCCACTGTAGCTTCCCATCTTACACAGTCCCAAGGTCACAAGCACAGACATGAGTCAAGAGCAGTTTGCTTGTTAGACTGAAGACTAACCATTCCCATCTTCTCTGTGCAGTTTGCAGCCACATTGCAAGACAATTTGCTCAGCACACATCTCCACTTCGGGGAGGGAGACAGAAAGGGCAGCAGCATGCAAGCATACAGATGGAAAAAATGCAGGATCATTCTTTGGCAACAGTCTGCAGTTAGAACAGCTAAAATCAATTACAAAATTGCACCATTACTCATGTGTCTAAAGTAAAGGGAGTCTGCGTGCATCTGTGTATGTATGTGTGTATGTGTGTGTGTGTGTGTGTGTGTGTGTGTGTGTGTGTGTGTGTGTGAATTTGGACAACGCAACAGATTGTAGAAGCCTCCCCTCTGGGAAAAAGTAAGCTACAATATTTTAGCAGTGCTTCTAAGAAAACAGTGCCTACTTCCAGAGTGGGGAAAAGGATATTTTTACCCATGATCATCTTAATGTTCTATTTTCCAGCATTACCTCAGAAAAACTGCAGTAATGCAACTAAGGGGGCAGGGAGATATGATGCAGGAGTAAAAATAAATGGAAATTTCTGAAGCTAATCTTATTACCCTTTCTAAAGCAATGCGAACTGCCCTCAGAGCTTGATGGGAGAAGACCAAGGAATGGCTTTGGGAAGTTGTCCTTTATTCATTCTGTAGCATATACTGTCTCCAGAAGTATACTCCAGACATAAGTTTTAAGACTGATTTTTGAGGGATAGGAAAAGCTACAGGCTGCATTAAACTAAGGATGTGATGTACTGATACAAGAAAAGGAAGCCTACAATCACACAGACATGACTTTAGAAGCTAAAAGATATTTCCCTTGTTTCTTGATAATAGAAATTCACCTATAGTAAAAAGTCTCTATTGTTAGTATCTACCTCTAGATTAATTTCATACACTTTGAATGTTTCTCAAAGAAATGGGATGTGATGGCACTATTCAACTATTAATGGGAGCTGAAGCACTTACTGGAAGAGAAGAGCAGCCTTAAAAAAGCCCTGATGTAATATTTATGACTGCAAACTGTAGCCTGAGTTTAGGTACATGATGATCCTTTTAAGTAGGTCATCCTAGTGAATCTTTTATGCCAAGGCAGTTTCTCTAATTACAGCTTTTCAGTTTTCAAGGTGCTCCATAGAAGTTATCTTTTTTGTGCTGAATCTGATCCTTACCTGTGTGTGGCTATGGTATCTACCAGCTGTTAGTGAACATGCAGAGCATCAAAACATTCACTGGATCTGCTGAAGCCTTCCACAAACACTTTCCTAACAGGTACTTTTCTGAGTGTTAATGAGTACAGTGTGTTCCTAGATTTTAGATAATTTTACAGTGTCCATGCAACCCATTTAACCTAAACTCTGAATTCCTCTAATTCTTAGACTGATATTTGTTTCTTTTTGTTTTTCCAGTAAGGGTTTTCAGTTATCAAATTCCCTATTACTACAGGGTGTACCTATACATATATATACATACTATAGGTATCTTGAAGAAAGCAGGAGCTTAGGAATACCAAATGAACAAAGAGTCGAAGAGCCAGCACTGATAAAACCATGCTTTACTCTTCTGTAGTACACCTACCCCATGAGTTCAACATATTCAAAATAGACAGATTTGCAAAAGTAACTGAACTTACACTGAAGTTTGTGGTAAACCAGGTACAGCAACAAGGAATTTAACCTGTTCAAACTCATTAAGAGCATAACTCCGCCATCAAAAAACATACAGATAGAGCAAAATTTCTGTCTAGGCAGAAATCAGAAATGTCTCTCTATCTCGTTTAAGTTTCCAGGCAAAATGCTTAATCTGAACACTGTTTTTTTAAACAGCTTTGCTTTCTCAGTGAGCTGAAATCTGTGCCTTAAGGTGATAAGCACAAAGAGGAATAATTTACAGCCCATGCATGATAGCTTCCCACCCTTTCAATTATGTTGGACTGATTACTACAAGTAAGTAACTGGAAAGTCTGAAACAGTGAGGATTAATGACTACCTGAGCAGCATAAAGCAGCAAAAGCAGAGATGATAGTCTAGCTATATATTCTTCTTTGTACCAACTGATTCATCCAACATGTTTGCTGACTTTCACTGAACCAAACACCACGTTCCTATTCAATTCCTTCAACTAAAACAAAAAGAATCTCAGGAAACTAGTGTTTCTGCCAGAAATGGAAATACTCCTTCAGGAAACAAATACAAAAACATTTTGTAAAAATACTCAAAGATGCATACACAAAATAAAAATCAAATTGTTCTTTTGGTCTAATATTTATTCTGATATTTATTCTTTTCCATTCTGTTACATTCATAGATTTCAATATATTTAGCATTCTGTATAGATTGTGCTACATCTGAAATAAAGGTTGGACATTACAAACTAAACCAGACCGCCCATAAAGATAAAAATCTATGACAAGTTAGAAAACTCATTCACATACTGGCTTAGATCTTTGCTTAACATAAGCTGTGAGAATACTCATTGGATACTCCAAAAAGTGATATTAAGTATACGTGTATAAGATAATAAAGTCTTTGGAACAGATCTGGAAGTCACACTCAAATGTGCATTTTATATATTCTTGGGAATTTTTTAAAGCATCTTTTCTGCTATTCTCTTGAATCTGTAATGCCTTTCCAAAGGAAAAAAAGAGTAAAACTCATTTCTAATCAAAGTTTTTGTCTTTTTAAATGCGTATTTTTCTTGACATTTTGATTCTGTTTTTCTACTGGTTTTTTTATTATCAAAGATGAATACAGGTGGTTTGTGTTTTTCAAGTTTATCTGTTGCTAGAAATTAGTCATCATGTGAAGATATAATCTTTGATTAGACAATAACAAGTTCCAGTTTTTCTACCTTGTCAAATGTTTGTATATCCCAGGTTAAATATAGACACCTGAACTATGTTAGTTCACAAACAGAAGATGCTATTGTTGTGAAAGTGTTCTCAGTACTTAAGAAAATAAAACAATCCACACTTGAATTCACTGAGATACCTGCAAAATTCCTCCTCATCTCTTCATGTGCAAAGCTTTTTGTTTATTTTTCATGGGTAGTACTTACTTCAATATGACCTAATAACAAATAGATTCCTCAATAAAGAGTATTTATTTATAGAGGTATACATTTATTTTAAGTGATTTAGAGCTGGCATCAAAGCTCGTGTGAAGCAGATTCATTTTGGGTAATGTTAGTGGATTAAACGCTAAGTTTCTGTATTTTAAGCAAATTTTCTTTCTCTCGTGTTGAGAGTCACACACCCAGGCTGCACTCTTCTAGCTCAGACTGCAGTAGACAGGAGTATTTTACTTGTATATACTCGTGTATAATACTGCAAGGCTGCAGTGCCACCGCCAGTGGCAGTCCCCAGCACTCTCCCTGTTTGGATGGCATTTTCACCACCTGTCCTGTACCAGCACTTGTCACTGCATCCTCTCTGCAGACACAGCACATACACACAAGATGAGCACGGGAGTTTATTTCTCTAGTACACATCAACAATCCTGAGCTCTGCAGAAGCAGCAGCTGAGATAACTGCTTCTGCCCAATATCCTCTACCTCCCAGTTTCTCTAAAACTATTTAACTAATTTAGCTAATTAGAACAAAAGAAGTGGAATTGCTTTTAGCTTGTTTTTACTTGAAATTCGATAACCTTTATCAGAAAAAAAAAAGAACATATTTGCCTGAAAGTAAAATGTATGTAGTCATCCGCCTTTAACAAAAAATATTACCTTTAACTACTCCTTAAATATCACCAAAATCTAATAACTCTAATAATTCTTTCCTATCACAGGCCTAATTCTTCCCCACTTACAAGTGGACATATAAGCAATGAAACCAGGATCTGCAAAAGTTCTCCTTTAAGCAGCACAAACTGGAAATCTAACAGTATGATGAAATCAGACCACCTAAGACAATGAAATCACAAACCTAAGACAAAAGCCATAAACTCTGTCCAGTGAAAATCACGAAATAGTAACTGAATAATCTGTGATAAAAATTCAGTAATATTGTAAAAACAAATTCTCCAAGAAAAGC